CAGGATGTGGAGAAAAAGGAACCCTAGTACACTGCTGGTGGGAATGCAGACTGGTGCAGCCATTATGGAAAACAGTATGGAGTTTCCTCAAAAAATTAAATATGGAACTGCCATTTGACCCTGTGATCCCACATCTAGGAATATATCCTAAGAAACCCAAAGTACCAATCAGAAAGAATGTATGCACCCCTATGTTCACAGCAGAGCAATTTACAATAGCTAAGATCTGGAAACAGCCGAAGTACCCATCAGTAAATGAGTGAATGAAAAAGCTGTGGTACATTTATACCATGGAATACTATGGAGCAGTAAAAAAGAAGAATCTCTTATCCTTTGAGAGAGCATGGAGGGACCTGGAGAATATCATGCTAAGTGAAATAAGTCAGTCAGAGAAAGACAAGTATCCCATGATCTCACTCATATGTGGAATTTAAGTAACAAAATAAACTGATGAACAGAGTGGATCCAGAGACATGGAAGCAGGGAACAGAGTGCGGAATTTCAGAGGCGAGGGATGGTAGGTGGGTGGAAGGTAATCAACCAAAGACCTTCTATGCATATACCCATAACCCATGGACACAGACAATAGGGTGGTGAAGGCCTGGGGCAGGGGGTGGAGGTTGGGGGCAGGCTGACGGGGGTCAATGGGGGAAAAAAGAGGGTATATGTAATACTTTTAACAATAAAGATTTATTAAACCAAAAAAAGGAAAATGCAAATGAAAAGTCTGATAAACATAAAGCATAACAAAAGATGATACATATAAAAACAAACTCAGCCCTAACCGGTTTGGCTCAATGGATAGAGCGTCGACCTGCGGACTCAAGGGTCCCAGGTTTGATTCCGGTCATGGGCATGTACCTTGGTTGTGGGCACATCCCCAGTGGGGGGTGTGCAGGAGGCAGCTGATGGATGTTTCGCTCATTGATGTTTCTAACTCTCTATCCTTCTCTCTTCCTCTCTGTAAAAAGTCAATAAAATATATTTTTAAAAAATAAAAACAAACTCAGTACTTACAATAAATTGAGTAACCTTAAAAAATAAACCAATAGCCCTGGCTGGTTTGGCTCAGTAGGTAGAGCGTCGGCCTGCAGACTGGAGGGTCCCAGGTTCGATTCCAGCCAAGGGCACATGCCTGGGTTGCGGGCTCAATCCCCAGTAGGGGGCGCGCAGGAGGCAGCCGATCAATGACTCTCTCTCATCATTGATGTTTCTATCTCTCTCTCCCTCTCCCTTCCTCTCTGAAATCAATAAAAAATA